ATCCCACAAATCCGCTGCCCTCTCCTTCGTCATCCCAGACGCTGAAAAATTGGACATCTTCATGCCAAACAATATCATTTCCATTGCCAGTGGGGGAGAGTTTATCCCGCTCACCGCCTGTAATCTCAACAAATACGAGACCAAATAGCTCTTCAAAGATTTTCAGCATACCACGGATTGTAGTCTGCAATGGGAAGTACTCTGCGATCAACTGATGATCAATGGAAAATTCCTTTTCCAGCATCATTCGATCGTAGAACCGGTGGTCCCACAAGTAGTAACGACCGTCAAACAATTGGGTTGGAGTGCGAGACGTGATATCAGCTTTTTTCAATGCCTTGAGGGCCACCAGCTCCTTTTCGCCACCAGGCTTCAGTCGAGAATATAGATCACTGAGGAAGTCATCGACGGTCTTAGGTGTCTTCACCATCTTGTCCTCAATCCTAAAAGTAGCGTGATTGGGATACCCGAGCAAGCGTGCCGCTTCATCTCTCAGGATGACAGCTTCTTTGAACAACGGGGCGTTTTGGTTGCATTTGTTCTCGTTGGCAATCATAACCTTCTTCCGCGTCTCGGAATCGGTGGCATATTTCAAGGTTGGGAACAGATCAGGGTACTTAAAGGTCAGTCTTACTTTGCCCTCATTTTCCCCTTCGCCCTTCTTCAACCCAGATAATACATCCTCTGGAACCCCATCCAGTTCATCTCTTGTAAACCACAGTCCCCCATTTTCTTCATTCAGGTTCTTTTGGAATTCAATCCCAATTTGGCTCAGCCGTTTCTTGATCTCCTTGAATCTGTCCCGCTTTGGGCCGGCGGGAATTCCTAGGCCATTGCGTATGTAGTCCTTATGTTCCTTTTCCAACAATTTCTGTGACTCAGGATCCAGCTTCTCGCCTTTCTTTAGAGCAGCAGCAACGAGATTGAACAGGTCCTCCCGCATGGCAGACTCGATGGCGAACTCATCCATAAGTTTCTCCGCCTCAGCTGAAGCATCTCGGAGTTTGCTATCGGTAGAAACTGCCTGGTAGAATCCAATGATGTGCGATTCAAGCGCCATTAAGTTCTCATCTCGGGCCATTGGGAACACTACATTGGCAAAGGTGGCCTCTTCAGCGGCAATCTTTGCCGCAATAGCATCCTGAACTTTGCGGGACGAGCCGATTATCCGTTTGGTGTCAGAAATCAACGAGTCAGGTGTTGCAGTAAAGACAGGCGGCGACTGAGGCACTTTCTTTAGCTTCGAAGGAGCCATTGTTGCGGTGGTGATGGGTTGTAGCTTGGTTGTTTGGCTAGTAACTACAGGCGGTTTTAATGTAGTGGTTGCTGGCGAAGTGGCTCCCCGAAACTGGCCTAAGAGAAATTGAAGTCTGGGAGCAGACAAACGGAGTGGAGGAGCCAGGATGACAGAGATCCCTATAAAGAGGGAAAGGGAGCCCAGGAGGAGGAAGAGGGGCGAACTAAACCGTAACCCCGCCAGGACGTCAGCCTATGAGGACAACGGGCGGAAATAGCAGAAATCAACCCAACTCTGGGGGTGGGGCAAAAAGGATCAAGTTGCAAAAATATACACAGACACGCCAGGCAACAGAAATAAAGGTCTTGTTGCCTTAACGGAGTGCTGTAGAGTAGATTGTGAGTTGACAGGTGGCGGAATGTTCAAGCAGAGAGAAGAGAGGTTGAACGGAACCTGCTGGTGGCTCTGCGGCGGGTCATGGAGCCATTGTGAGCTATTAATAATTTAATTTAATAGCCCTCGCCCAACCATTTCAACGCCATCTCAACCATCAACCAGGCGCATCCCTTGGAACAACGGAGTCGCCATACTTTTTATAGGGGTATAAGCTTGTTGTTGTTGTTGTTGTTGTTCTTCTTATGTTTTCTAAGGCCATATACAGTCTGAGACTATGACAGCCTTCACCTCACTAGCCTACCCTTATGTTCAGCTACTCTCTAGTTACATTTCTCTATTCATAACTGAGTCATCCTTGATGGAGAGACTTCACTATACCATTCTGGATCTAGCCCGCCTTGCCCCACAATTGCTCATGCAATACTAAGCAGTCCCTTGTCACTTGGACTACTCCGTTCCGTAGACATGTAAGAATCACAACACCTTAGGATCCCACACTATACTGAATCTATCTAGACTATATACATAGTGTTGAACATTGCTCCACTCTGCAGTGGCAGTTACCAATAGAAATGAGATAAGAAAGGGTACCCCCAATATCCACAAAGATGTGATAATATCCTTTTAAAGAGGGTGGGATTCAAACCCACTACCTTCTTGTCTCAGCAGAGGTGGCCCCAACACCAAGTGCCTACTTGAGAAAGCATTTCATGAACAGCATTTACCACTACACCATCCACCCCCTCTATAAGCTTGTTGTCTGCTGCTATGTGATTTGCCATTCACTTGGCCATGCATTTTCAAAATGTGTGGAAATGGCTTCAGCTTTGAACAAGTTATCTCATAGAATGCTAATTCTGCATATCTACAACCTGCCTCCATGTTTCAATGTTTTCCCACTTCAGAGTTGAAATGAATTGGATTTTGCAGGGATTGCGGAAACCTGTGGCTTAGCCGCCTGTTTGAACAGATATTGTGATGGATGTAAAGCTTGCGAAAACAGAATTTTCTGCCACCCCCTGAAAAATAGTAGCAAAACACTGCAAAAATAATCAAAATATCCATGTATCTTTAAAATCATTTCAATATCATTCAATTCATTCAAATATATATCTTTATCATCAAATATACATCTTTAACATCAAATCTGTTAATATGTCTTCTCAGCTCAATGAATTTATCATCAATGAAATTATACATTTTCTAAACAATGATTATATATCTGTTTAAATTGCATAGGTCATTGAGTATCATCTGATCACTGTATATCAAATTCAATGAAATATTCACTACTTTGAAACTGCTAGAAATTCTCAGTTAATATAAGATATAAAGTCAAAAATCACACTGAATATCTTGTCAGATTTGAAGAAAATTTTTAAAATATATTCAATTATATATTATAATGAAATGTAAGAAACCCGCACTAAGGTGCCAGTGCTAGGCCGGAATTAGCGATAGCCCTAAAGATATGACATCGCCGAACATAGCACCACCAACGTCATATCAGGTTTGAAATCAAGGCATTATCTTGCCACTTGCATCATACTACGCCATCTACATCATAGCAAGTTCGATCTGCTTATGATACTGTGTGTATATAGCTAGCAGCTGGTCCAACCTTCTAGGGACCAGCGGATCATTCTGTTATAATCTGACCCCTACATTCTACACCCTCAATACCTAACTACTTGATCCGAATCCTCTCCGATATATCACTGTATTATCTCCTACTGCTTGATCCTCGTAGAGTCCTAAGGACCAACCGAAATATAAGCAGCCATTTCCAACATCGCTGCTTACAACAAGTTTGTGAGGGGTGATGACAGTGTGAAGAGTGAATAGTAGAAGATAGTATATAATGTAGTAGAAGATAATAGTAATTATAGTAGTAATAGTAGTAATGTAGTTGAAGTTGTAGCTAATCGCTAAGGAGGAAAAGAAAGAGAAAGAAGATGTGCGAAATACATACATTCATATATATATACATATAGAAATAGGGGTAGCGAGAGTATAATGGAAAGAGGTAAGAATAGACGAAGATATAAACAAAGGTATTATAATAATAAGGAAATAATAAACGAGTGTTGTGAGACATATTGACAGATTTGATGATAAAGATGCATATTTGATGATAAAGATGCATATTTGAATGAATTGAATGATATTTAAATGATTCTAGAGATACATGGATATTTTGGTTATTTTTGCGGTGTTTTGCTACTATTTTTCAGGGGGTGGCAGAAAATTCTGTTTTCGCAAGCTTTACGTCCGCCACTATATCCCAAACCCATCTCCAACGCCTATATCCTTGAGAAAAATTAACTTCTGAGTTGCAGACAGCACGTTAAAATACTCAACTGCGTTATATCTGCATCATCTGAAGGGTGGAAACCCACTAGGATAGGGAGTCATGGCTTACTGGATATCGTGTCATCCATATGACAGATGATGAATCGTTGCAGCTGCTTCCTTTTTCAGCAGCATCTCCAGCGCATGGAATTCTATTAATCTACAGTACCGGGAACTTTTTTGAGGCTGGAGAGAGATACTTGAATCGCGGATATCAGATTGGCACTCACCGATAAAATCTTCGGCAGGAAAGAACTATTCAATCGGGGACCAAACTTCTCTTTTATTCTATCCTACTGTATTCGCGATGCGCGGAGCAGAAGAATGGGAATTAAGCCCTCATGAAAGGCAATAAATCGTCTAGAAGCAAGGCCAATATCCATGAACGCATGCGCCGACTATTTAATACACAATAATGGTCAATTCTTAGAAACGCTGTCTTATCTTGTCCTTGTACTGTTCAGTACCTAGGAACAAGGGAGCTCAAATCTACATGGTGATATGATGTGCTCCTTGCCGAAAATCTCCCACTCTGTCTCGGCCCCGGGAGCCAGGTTTAGTCTCGGATCTACAAGGTTCATAAAAAGGAGTTAACATGCCAAAGAATAATTGCCGCTTCCATTCCCTTTAAATTCCTTCAATACCTCCTATTTTTGTTTGATATATTTATTTGCATACTTTTACCTTTCCATAACTTCTTTTCATCGATTTTGGGAAAATCGGCAACACGTATAATAATATTTATGGTGGTATCCGACCCGAAGAGGCTGAGTGGATGCGACCGATGATTTCCCAAACTGTGTAGCTGAGGATGGCAGCATCAGTATTTATTGGAGAGATTGGATTGGATCGTCATCCCTCATACCAGCATGGCGCAGGTGGTGATCGAGCTCTTTTGCTCCAGTAGCCGAACAGTTTTTTAAGTCAATAGAGAGCTAATGTACTAGCCGCCTGGTTATTACTTCATTCTGTGGCACGACAGCTGAGTTATTGTGGAGAGATGTTGCACCGTTCAGCTTTTAACCTCGCAAATTTTTGGACCTTGGTCATCAGTGTGGGACAACACCTCCACATGCGGGATAGTATTGGACATATATATGACCTACCTGCTTCTCTTGCCTGCTTCTCTACAAAAACGCAGCAATACAGATGGGCCTGATTCACGGAGGGCTATAATCAACTAGCTTGCTATACCATAATCCATTTTGAAATATTCTCGGATTTTTGGGTGCAAGGTTGGCATGGCAAGTCTTCGTCCCTTGTCATGATTGTTAACCCAGATTGGATTCCGACTTAGCCAAGAAAGGGGGAAATCGGATTGCATTTCAGAAAGGATAAAGGAGGAAAAGGGAAAATAATTAAAAGGAAACACACAAATTAAAAACACACAATGAGCAAAGAACCCGATCAAATCTTTCCGGACGTGGATCGCGCCAAGAATGGATATCTCGCGGACAAGATGCACAAGGCGCTCAGAACATTGACTACCCGGTATGTGTTGTTGAGCCGAAATTTTTTTGAAGTAGAAGAAATGAAGGCATCAAAAAAATGGCCGGCCTTATCCTCTATCCTACCTTGTTCTCTCTCCATCAAGCTCATTGAAGGTCAAAAAGCCCACACCCAAATTGGCTATCCGTTCTGACAAAGAGTTCCTGTGCCATTATCCACACCTTATATATTAGAAAGGGACTCATTGGCGACTATAACTACGCCATATAATTCACGCCGAATCTCCCCTTTATGAAATCACCGCGGAGGGCGGCGCCTTTTTTTGGCTTGGAAGATCGGATGCCCATGGTTCTGGGGTTGATTTTGGGACTGCAACATGCGCTGGCCATGTTGGCCGGGAGTATGTCTTCCGCCATCATTTTTCTTACCTCTTTGGTTCCTATTTTATATGGAGATGTAAAAATATGGAGGGGAAAAAAGGAGATACTACTAAACCCTAACCCCAACTAATCGGGAAACACTCCATGTTGATGATGTGCATATACATAGTCATCACCCCCCCAATCCTCATGTCCGGCTCTAGTGGCGCAGAGCTCCCTGACAACACAGCTCAATACCTGGTCTCAACCTCCCTGATTGTCTCCGGCCTCCTCTCCGCCATCCAAATGACCCGCTTCCATATTTACAAAACCCCTTATTACCTCGGCACGGGCTTGATTTCCGTCGTGGGAACCTCCTTCGCCACAATACCAGTCGCCATGGGCGCGTTCGCGCAAATGTACGAGACCGGTTACTGCCCAGTCGACGAACAGGGGAACCACCTCCCCTGCCCACATGGTTACGGAGCGCTCCTGGCGACGTCATGCCTCTGCGCGCTGCTTGAAATCGGGCTCTCGTTCACAAGCACCCGGTACCTAAAGCGCCTCTTCCCGCCGCTCGTTACCGGGCCCACGGTATTGCTCATCGGGATCAAACTCATCGAGTCTGGCTTGAAAAACTGGGCCGGCGGCAGTGGGTCCTGCGCCTCCCGCCCTCCCGAGGGCCCTTTCATGCTCTGTCCCAACAACGACGCCCCGCACGCTCTCCCATGGGGTAGCGGTGAATTCATTGGACTAGGCTTCCTCGTCTTCGTCACCATAATCCTCTGCGAACGGTTCGGGTCGCCCATCATGAAGTCCTGCGCTGTCGTCCTGGGCTTGTTAGTGGGTTGCATCGTAGCGGCCGCAACGGGTTACTTCGATCGGGCAGACATGGACTCCGCGCCCAGCGTCTCATTCATCTGGGTACACACCTTCCGACTGGAAATCTACCCGCCCATCATTCTACCCCTTTTGGCTGTGTACACTGTTCTGATGATGGAGGCCATTGGGGACATTACGGCGACCTGCGACGTGTCCCGGCTGGATGTTGAGGGTCCGGTTTTCGACACGCGCATCCAGGGAGGGGTGCTTGCTGACGGCCTCAATGGGCTCATCGCAGGGCTCTGCACCATCACGCCCATGTCTGTGTTCGCACAGAATAACGGGGTGATTTCGCTGACGCGTTGCGCGAATCGGAAGGCCGGTTACTGCTGCTGGTG